GTCTAGAGGTTGATGACTTGTAGCTGCCTTTCTAAAAGTATAGATACTCAGCATAACTATCTTGTTGTCTTTTATGATCTTATGGTTTGTGAATAGATGATATACTGACCTCCACATTGACATCTGGTGAAAGCATACCTATTTTTCAGTTCTGTATGTAGCTTCACATTTCTACCCAGACTCACAAAGTTGTTGTCTGTTGCAGTGTATGAGGTGGAGCTTCTCAACAGTACACAGAAGAATGTTTTTGATTATTATGAGGTCAAAATTGAGAGAATCCTTAAAGCCTGTAAGTATCAAAATGTTTGGCTCCTTTAGTTCACCTTTAGGAAAATGTTGATTAAATGCTAACCAGCAGTAGTCATACAGGTGTCTTCTCTTGCTGCCAGAAGTACAATCAAATATATTTATACATTATGCCTGAAAGGAGACTGATTTCTTGAAAGAATCCAAGGTTGCTTTGGTTCACATTGTGCAGCAATCCCAGAGCACGTGACTTTCATTCCTTTCAAATGAAACTAATCCAGAAGATACATTACAGCTGCATTCAGTCCCTGGCTCCAAATTGGAGCTAGTCTAAAGTAAACCCTCCAAGAAACATGTGGATATTATGTCCTTTACATCAACTATTTCACTCTGTAGACTGCTGATCCACATTTTTTTCTACTGTAGATGTACCCAATAGCTTCTGTTTTGACATGGGGTGAATGCTTGAAGTACTCAGTTTGTTACTCAGTTGATCACTAAACACTTGCAACCCTCGCAGAACAGGCTAAGACTTGTCCACAGCAACTTGCCAGTGTTGGATGACTTAAAACCAATGAACGCAGGAAAACCTCCAGGACATTGATTTAATAATTGAGATAACAAAAGAAGCAGCCTTTCTATTCATTTCTTAGGTTGCAGTGTAAATATTTACACAGCTCTCAGAAAATGTCCTTTTGGAGACGTGCCTTCCCAGCTGTCTCTGTGTGAATGCTACTTTATCAGCAGCATCAGTGAACACTGATATTCTTCAAAACTATTTCTGGGGAGGCTGTCAGATGATTTCTCAGACTTCATTCCACCAAGCCATCATGTGGTTGTCAGTTTTGAGTTTGGCAGACAGAGACTGTCTTTAAGAACAACTTTAAATGTTTCAAAATCTTCACTGCCTTGAACAGAATTATTATTTCACTTCCTTGATCTTTGCCCAGAGCGTTAGTGATATCATCCAGTACTTTATAGCACACAATGTGATCTGTGCACCACATCCAGTTACTATCAGAAAACCAGGTCCATACTTCATGTGCCCAGAGATAGCACTGGTGATACCCAGGGCTTTACATATGCAGGGAAATCATAATATAATTTAGGGATCAAAACACTGGCTTTGGGAGTTTACAATACCATGATGGAAAATTTCATTAATCCGCCTGCAATTCCTACAGACTCTAAAGCACGTAGAGTTCTGGGTCTCACTGCATTTGTTCTTGCAACTCATGGGCAAGTGCTGGAAAGATTTTCCTTCTTGACACTTGAAAGAGATTTCCTTTGAATCTGAAATTGAACAGAAGAGGTGACTTCTCACATTCCCACTTTTTTCTTTAAAATACTCCTTGGTTTGTGTGGTATGAGGCAGTTTATGAGCATCAGTGGGTTATGAAGATTTTCAGCAGGGCTGGGAAAGACTGGGAAGTGGCATTAAGCCATGATGATGAAGGAAAAGCAAGATGTTGCGTCCAAATCAGCTCATCACTGAACTAGAATTGTTATATTCTGTATTTTCTGTGACTGTTTTGAGTGAGGCTTGTCATTGTTGCCATCATCAAGGGCAGATGAGAATTAGCAGATGAATTCTCATTTTCTGGACTCCAGGCATTATTTCAGTAAGAATCCTTGCAGATAAAAGTTGCTTCAGAAGAGAGATGGAAAAACTTATTTGTGTTTTGGAGTCAGCAAAAGAGAAGGAGCACTCCCTGGATTATTTTGATTATTAAAAGAATAACTGCATGTGTTTTAGATTACTAACGTTTATGCTTTCCTTTGAGTCCTTTATGGGAACAGTATGGCAAATACACAACAGCACAGAATCTTTTTCTTTTTTTTTTTTCTTGTTTACCATTATGCTTTCTAAAGCTTGAAGTAATTTTTCCATACATTCTACTTGGAAAGTTTTTGTTTATTTGTTTTTAAATTGGAGATTGAAAATTGCAAATTACATAACTGTTAAAGTAACAGCACAAAGGCCTACGATCCCCAGAGTCTTATTCTGTCAGGACATTTGTGAAGCATACAAAGTGGGAAGTACCATGGTAATTTAAACACAATGAACCCGAGGCAAAACATTATAATTTTCTCAAGTATTTCTGATCCGTCTTTGCATCCCTTTATGTTCTTTGAACAAAATGAAAATTCAGTACACCATGTAGCACAGGAACAACAGAAAGATCATTATATGAGAAAATCTACAGTACTGAATTATTCTTTGGAAATACGCAAATGTAAAACAGCATACAGTACTGAAAACTGACTTTTCTCTGGCCTATAAGTACCATATGTAAAATTAATGTAAGTTTTAACTAGGAAATTGATACAGTTCTTAGTGCTAGGTTTCACAGTTCAACACTCTATGTCAAATTCTCTGAAATCATTAGTGTTAAAATATTTTTTATTCTTCAGGGTTTTATTCTCTTCCTAGGATTTCATTTTGAATACTAAACTTTTCATACCTGTAATACAATACTTCGGATAGAGGAGGCTGCACATGTTTCTGTTAGCTGATAGATTATAGTGTTTTACCTGCAATCTAATCTGTTTTGTCGTTGGATTGGTCACCACCATTGTGCATGATGCTTTGCATTATGGTTAGAGAGAATGTGAGAAATAGTCAGGCACTGGGACGGGTTGCCCAGGGAGGTGGTGGAGTCACCGTCCCTGGGGGTGTTCAAGGAAAGGTTGCACGTGGTGCTTAGGGACATGGTTTAGTGGGTGACATTGGCAGTAGGGTGATGGTTGGACCAGATGATCTTGAAGACCTCTTCCAACCCTAATGATTCTATGATTCTAAATTAATGTACTGATGTTATCTGCTTCTTTTTGTTTAATTGTTTTGTTTTGTTTTTCAAAAAACTTTGGGAACTTTGTAAGGGCTATGTAAGCTGATATTCTAGCCAAAAAATGCAGTATCCTCATAACCTGTGTTAGCTTGTTGAATAAGTATCTTTCCAGCTCTCGTGTCATTGCACTAATGGGCTGTGCAGCTCTTGAATGAATAATCATCTGGGCCAGAATCCAGACCACAATCTTCTAAGTCATTTTAATGTGGAGATCTCTAAGTACATGTCCTATAGAACAGCTTCAGGAGGAACAGCACAGGGGTTAAATCAGTGAAATTCAGCACATTAAGTAGTGTGAGTTTTTAAAAGTACCTGCTGCATTGTTGAACCACAAGACACTTGAATTTAGTTTGCTAGCTTCTAAGACCACTATAAACCTGAGCAATCTGAAATATAGTATGTTTTCTTTTTTCCTTTGACTTTTTTCAATCTCTAAAGAAACCCAATAAGATTTGAAAGATCTCTATAGCAAAAGCTGCTTCAATAACTATTAAGGAGCTTAAGACATTCAGCAAATAAAAAAATGACTTGCTTTTAGCTGGGTAATGTTACTATGTCTTACTACAGCATGGCCATTTACTCCCAAATGAGATATAATCTTGGCTTAGCAGTGGAGTAAATACTCACAAAGGTTTGTGTCCTGTGGGCTATGGTTCTGCTCTTTATCATGAAAATTTATGGATCTTTCTCTTCTCATGTCACAGCTGCTGATGAAAGCATCCAAGTGGGTGCCCATCGACAGTTCCTAAAACGCTCCACTTGCAAGCTAAACATGGTACCTGGCAAACGATACCTTGTCATGGGGAAAGATGGGCAAACTGTTGATTGCAATGACAAGTAAGTGCATAGCTCCTGAGCCACAGGACTGCTATCACAAATCAAAATGGTACTCAAACTATTAAAATGCCTCCAGAAAGCAAAAGGAGGGACAGATTTCTCAGGGACTGACTCCGCTGCCTTTACTAAAATGTGGTGTACCACTCCATAATCAAAAGGGCAACTGTGAGGAACAGCTGAGCCACCCAAATCTAGAGACTATGTCTAAAAGGAGCCCTCAAAGTTTTCTACGTCATGAGTGCAGCTCATTATTCTCCTTTCTCATCTTCACACTTGAGTGAAGAAAAAGGGAATTTATCTGAGGAGAAATTTAGTCTGCCTCTATTAAGCTTTTAGTGAGGAAGACATCTTAAATGCTTGATTTCCCTGCACAAAAGTGGAGAAAGGTAGTGCCTTTGAAGCTTCTAGGAGGGAGACCACAATCAACCAAATTGTAAGTGCCACTTCCTAAAATCTTAAAAGGTCCCACGAATATGAGTGTTTAAGTTAAGTGTACTTAAGTTAAGTGCACCGCGGTGAAGGGAGGCAACCTCACAGGGTTTATGCTTTCTAGTTGCTCCATGTCAGCAGTGATAACTGACCTCATTTATCCCTCCCTCTTGCACTCAGGATGCAGTACTTCCTTGACTCCCAAGCCTGGGTAGAGAAAATTCCAGACGACAGCGAGTGCCGCACCACCCTGCACCGGCAAGCCTGTGCTCACCTGCAGGAGTTCATGAGCAAGCATGACAGCCTCTGCCTTTTCTGAAAGATTGCTCCGCTCCTCACATCCCACCTGTGTTACTGCAACTCAGCTCCTTCCTATTTTTTTCTTGCAAATCCTGTACCTCAGAGGCACCTTAGACATGGCAGAGCTGCTTCTGTTGCTAGCTGTTCTTCTTCCAGTGGCATACTTGTTGAGTGGGACTTCTTCCTGTAGATGTATGTACGGGGCTAATATAACAAAAATTACAGTTACTCTACTAGTTGTGTTTTTTGTCCCTGACATGGGTGAAGAGAAGGAATTTCTGTCTTCCTGACCCATTACTCAATAGGGCAATTATCCTGCAGGGGATTAAATGAGTCTTTTTTTTTTTTTTTTTTTAAGCAGACAACTGTGCTTGCAAAGATGATTAATTTCCCTAAATGTTGTCACTGGATGATAAAGAGGCCAAAAAAATTTCATGGGTCAAAAAGAAAACTGTGCATTCATGGGTTTACCAAGCACAGCCTGTGATATGATGAAAGAAAAGGGATACTAGTACTCACACTTCAGCACATCAGTTCATTTCTGATATTAATTGTAGGACCACATGTGGGTGAACAAATGACCCCACTTGTACACACAGCAGGATTCCCATACACACTTCTGAAGCAGGAACCGGCTCAGCATCAGGGACGGATGACTGGGCTGGATGTGCCCTGTGCCTGACCCTGGAGTCCTGCATGGACTAGTGAGTAGCTCACCAAGGGCACAGAGTTATTTTCTAATTGCAGTCTGTAGTCACATGTCTTTCAAGCTTTTCCTTTCTACAGTTTAATTAATTTGCATTGCTTTAAAGTAATGATGCAATCTGTGGGTGCATTTCTGTAACACACTGGTGCTTCTGTGGCTATGCAAAGCAGCTCTGTAGTGGAGATGAAACAGTTGTCTGGGAGAGGCAGGGGAATTCTTCTGCCATAGTTATAAAGGTTTCCACAAAAGACAAACTAAATTGAGAATGAAAAATAACACCCAAATTCAAAACATCTCTTTTCTTAGGATAGGAGCCTCTCTGCCAAATGTTAGGAAGAATGATTTGTGAATGCAGGTTTTACATCTTTGCCAACAAAAATGCCATTTGGCAGTCGTGTCTGAAGCAGGGAAGAGAGCTGCAATGAAAAGCTGTGTTTGCTGAGCAGGTCACCATCCTCAGATGCTCACACCACTGCCTTTGTGCCAGCAGTTACTGAGTGCAAAAACTTGTCATCTGGACTGCTTGTGCTGCCTTGCAGCCAAAATGAGATGGGCCTGTATCAACAACAGAATTAGAAAATCCATGCTGTTCTCATGAATTTGGAGTCAAATGACCTTACCATATAGAGGGGCAGCAGTGAGCCTTGTGTGGAAGAGACACTACACAGCAGCATCTACCAAAGTAGCTATACCACAAGAGACTTCAGATTCACGTGCAGACAGCCCATCACTGGGTGGCAGCAATGTGAACAGCCCACAGAATCACAGCCCAGCTGCTTTTGGAGGCTGTAAACTCAGCTAGTATAGCTGAACTCAGATATCAGCCATGTCCCCACTCAGCTGCAAGGAATTGCATGGGTGGAGGGTGGGGAAGGCTCATTTTATGAAAATCTGTGCTACCACTTTATGATATCTGCAAGGCAGAATAAGAAACCTCTTATGGGTGAAAGAGAGACACTTACATTAACATAGGATAATTTGTTTTCCCTGAGGTTTGCATCAGCCTTCAAATTTAGGAAATGTGACTGCAATATGTGGACATATATTCTCTTCCCATTACAAAGCTTAGACAAATGTCAGTGATACAGCAAAATCCCGTTTAGGTCAGTAAAGCAACTGCTAATTTTTAGTCACAGAAGATAAAGAATAGGCTGTTCCACTGATATACCAATGATCCAGTAATTCTGTTGACAGTTATGAAAGAATACTAAGAATACTAAGGTTGGGACCAAATCCTTCTTTCCACTCCACAGGACTTGAGTTATACACCAGTATCTGACCCTTCTGCTGTGTGGAGCAGGTTTGTAACCTCATCAGGAGCCCATAGGTTCTTAATTAGCAGACAGATCACCAACTAATTGCTATGCCCAAGCACTTGCAATACGTGGTGAAAGCATCATTAAAATTTCTTATTAGGTCTCACACGAATTTTACATATTTTCTTCCATTTCACCTGGAGATGAATCTAAGATGAAACTGCTTGGTGCCTAAATTTTGCAACCTTCAGTGCTCAAAGGCAGTCTCCTAGTGTGGGAACTATGTGTGGTTATTAAACTATTTCTACTCTAGCTTTGGTAATCTGGAACCCTTTGCTTGCTGAGAAACCCTTTAAATCTCTCAGCCCAAGCAGCTAGCAAAGAACAGTCTCTATCCCCCTCTATTTTTCTGTCCCAAATTTTCAAACATATTAACAGGGAGAGGGAAGACGATGGTGGAATTGTTCTCTGCTGCCAAAGTTGTTAAAGTTTGCAGGTAGCGCAGCTGAAGACCTGCTGTGGAGTCGGCCAGCACCATGGAGGCCTGCTTGAGGGCTTTAGAAGCATTCCTCTCTCCCTCTGCTGCCACAACCTGCAACATAAGAGAAATGGAAATGGCATTGCAACACTGACAGTAGTGGGGAAAAGCCACTTTTACAATGAGGAGAAAAAGATGCACTTGGACGCCCAGGACAAAGGTGTGGGACGTTGTAGCCTGTGAGTAGACATCTATGGATCTCACCTTAGCTCTTGCCTCTTGTGCAGCTTCTGCTTCAGCTGCCATCGTCCTCTGCATGGCCACGGGAATCCTGATGTCTTTGATCTCCACACGAGCCACTTTGATTCCCCACTGCTCCGTGGCACTGTCGAGGATATCCTTAGAGACAAGCACCAACATGAAGAGCACAGTGGTTGGAGAGAGAACGCAGTGTGATTTACTGCTGCCTTGACAGGAGAGGCAGAGGGCAGACCTGCACAGCAGGAAGATGAAGCCCTTCTGGGGTGCTAGCACCCATGGCGGTGTGAGCATGGCAGGTACCTCTGCATTATGAAACTCCTCCTGATCAACACCTGTGTCTGAGACGGTGCTGGTTGGTACCTGAAGTTTCTCTCCTATGTAGGGCTTTTGTAGGTGCTCCTTCTTGCCTCCTAAGATATGATTCCCTCCCTATCTTTAGGCAGACACTTACCTAACTTCTCTCTTTTACAAAGTAATACAATAGCAACTTCTGAGAGCAATTGTCATTGTACAAACATATTGGTGACTCACACATTACAGCCCTGCAGCACTCAGGATCTGTGTTGAAGCACCATAACCATCAAACGCCTCAGTTCTGTACTTGTAGCCATTACGGCACAAGACCTGACAATTTAAACCTCAATCAAGGGTCTGATAGAGCTTCCCACAAAGAGCTGACATATTTCTCATTGCTTGCAGCGATCTCTGAGCAAAGTCTGCTTATGCTGATTTATTCAACTCACTGGATAATTTCAGCAGCTTCACTGCTTTTTGATGGAAAATAATTCTTCTACAGGAATATGGGGAAATACATTTTCTCTAATTCTTTCTTACTTCAGGCAATGAGAAGTATAACTGAAACAACCATTCAGGAAAATTTTGCTATCACTATTAAGGAAAATAAGGGAGATTGTTTCTAATTTGCTGCTCCCCAGAACAAATCTCCCTGCTTACCAATGAATTCATGAGCCGGATTTACCTGGATACCATGAGCAATCTCTTCTCGACCAGCCAGGAGCTGAGCCAAGCTCTTTGTACCCAGCACATTTCTGAGGGTCGTCTGTGCCAGGAGAAAGGTGGCTGCATGGACATCGGTGACATTGGCAACGGCGCTGACCGCACTGTGGATCCTGTAGTACACCACCCCATCCACTTGGGTGGTAACAGCATCTTTTGTCAGAATCTGCATCGTAGAAACATGCAGAATTACAGAAGGGTCCAGTAACACACCCCTTGACAAGGAAGGGGAATTATTGTTATTCCTTTTCCTTAAGTGATGAAGAGAGCCTGATAATTCAAGGAAATTAAGAATTTATTTTGTTTTATTTGGTTTCTTCCTTTTCAAGAAAATCATTTTGCAACAGAAACCATTTGAACCAGGGCAAAATATTACACATACTATTGAAACAGTACTTTAAAAGCTAGATGAATCTCATCACCTGCATGAATTTCTGCTGCAATAATAAAGAATGCTTACCCTGTCTATTTCTTGCAGAAAGTGCCAGAAGTGATTTTACACATTGCATGTCATTTGGAAGACCAGTGCAATTTTAACCAAGCAATGTATTTGTAAGGAACACACACAAATTAAATCAAAGGTGAAAAGCAAAGTGCAAAAATCAGTGAAAAGAAACTCCAAAAGCTATTTCAGTATTCATAAAGAAGTTTTTTTCATTTTTGCCAGTGCAAGGAGAGGCAAATGCCCTGTGCCTCAGCAGACAGCTGGCCTCAGCAGAGCACTGACGATGCTCCACTGTTTTTTCCCTCCTCAGCACCTTTTCCCACCATTAAGTGCTCCACAGAAACTCTGCCAACAGCTGCATAAACCTTGCCAAAAGCTGCTAAACCTCATACAGCACAAGTACTGCAACCATTTTCCTTCCTGCCTTCTATTTTTGGAGAGCCACCCCTGCAACCTCTCTTCTCTCATCCCATCTATCTTCTATTTGGAGCTCCAACCCCACCTTCTTTATCTTTTATCTCACACATCAGCAAGAGGAGTCTGCTTGGCCTGCAATGATTCACCTGTGGGTTTTCATAAGTAGAAGTTTTGTAAGCTGGAAGTCAGAAGATACAGCAAACAAGCTAAACTGTATATGGCAGATCACAGCTGCAAGACTACAAAACACCCACATTATTTTTGATCGTGCCACAAACCAGCTCCATGTCTCACTTCTCTTTTGGGTGACTGCTAGAGAATAGTTACCTCTTGTGGAGGAATGGTACAAGTAACAGTTCGAAGATCAACCCTGATAAACGTATCTGTACATGGAAGTATGAGGATCAAACCTGAAAAATAAAAATAATTAGATGAAACGCTTTGGAGAGCTAAGTATAGAACCATGTACTGGCACAATGCAAACAGATGGAAATATCCACAGGGTGGGGAATGAGCCAGGGAGCCGTGCAGCACTTTATTACTGCAGCTGTCCTTCTGTTGCAGGAGGTGACAGCAGAGAAGTTCTGCATTTTCAAGCAACAGAGGGGGAATGTGGATATCTGCAAAGATGTGAACTTATCAGGCATTAATGGCTTAGAGCTCTGGGCAGGGAATGGACAGACTTCTATTCTGGTTTCAAATCTGCCATGAGACTTTTGGCAAAAATTTCTTCCAGGCCTTCGCTTATTTTCTTCTCTTTCAATCATAACTCATTTGCAGTACAATGTGTTTGACCCCAGGAAAGACACCTCCCTTCTCCAGAGTCCTCTACCAGCCGTAGAAGCTCACATTAGGAACATTGTCCTCTTATCTGAACTACCCTGTGAAGTGGGAGACTTGACACTATTTTTTTAACCTCTGCACCTTGCTTAGGTGCCCAGAGCTATGCAGAGGAGTTCAGCATCTGCCCTAGCTGTATTTTGGACCACATGGCTATTATTTAGGAGGAAAGACAGCATCTGAAAAGGGCTTTTTCCTTTTATTTCAACTCCCAATTTGCCCAGTTTCACTGCACAAAGGTTGCAATTGTATGTAATTACTTGGTGTTGTTGGTTTTGTGTTGTATTTGCAGTTTGTATCCTGATCCTAGGTGACTGTAACAGACTCTGTGTGGGTGCAGAGTGTGGGAAGGCTCCTGTGCTGAAACATTTACAATTTTCAGAACACAATACAGCTAAAGATCTGGCAACAAAAAGTAACTTTGGAAGTGAGGAATAAGGAGAGTGGCCATGGTCACCCAAAAATATCTGTGGTAGAGCTCAAGGCTACATTTCAACCTCTCTGGTTCTCCACCAGTGCCTGCAGCATGAGCTCAAGCTTCCATCATCCAGTCTACACAACAGCAAAACCTTCTCACCCTCCCTTATGTTGTGAAGGATTTATGGACCTCTGCAGTTCTCTGTGCGGTTACAGTGCATCTTAATAGAATAAAACTGCATGTGTTCACCTGGTCCCTTTGATTTCTTAGGCAGTATACGTCCCAGCCGAAATACAACAGCACGTTCATATTCTCTGACAACCTAGGAAAATATTTTAAAATTAGAATTTTACAACTAATTCTATTCCTCCTTTCTAGTATATATTCTTAAATATATATATATATTTGACATCCATATTACGTGAGAAATACAGCTAATATAGAGACTAACAAAACTGCGAGTCACAAAGCATTTTTATGTTTTCTCACCTCATCCTTTGCTGGAAAAAACTCAGACCTTGGCCCTGTGAATAAGTCATAAAATAGACCAAATATACAAGAAACGCCACTGATTTAACGAGGGTATCCACAACTCTTTCAACATCAGTGCTACACACAGAGGAGCTAGCTGTAGGCAGAATAAAATATCAGATAATATAGTCAACTACATCAGATTGTAGGATGACTCATGTTCTGGGGTTCACAGCAATCACCCTGGTAATTCACCTCTAAAAACAGCTTTAAATTAATCATATTATGCCCACGTCTTGAAGGGACTGTGGGCTTAGGTTGCATAGTCCCTCACTGTTGGGACTTGACTCCTTTTTCTCTCATTACCTATGTTAATGACTATTGCTGGCAGCATCACATGACTTCTTCAAAAACATTTTTAGATTTATTCTCCCAATGTGTTGTAAAGCAAGGAAGACAAGGAAGTTTAACTGATTGTGGAAGCTGACATGGGAAGAAATCAAATGAGTAAGTTGTGGTGCTACAGAAAGTCAGTGGAAGTCCGTGGATCTCTTGGTCCCAGACCACAAGCCCTTATTATTTCCAAAAAGCTAATGTGTGCTTTAATAGATCAATAAATAAATAGATCAAACAATAATGGCAATAGATTGTTCTTTCCGTGCCTCACATCCCACTAGCTTACCTTGATACATGCCCAGATGGAAAAAGGAAAGGTAATAACCACCAACAGGAAAGAAATTGAAACCAGGATCCAGCCACAGACACCAATTCCTTCCCGCCTATCAGCTATAAAAGAATAGGGAAAAAAAAAAGAAATGAATGCAAATCCTGAAAAAAAAGTTATCAAAGAGAAGTAGATCTAACCTACTACAATAATGATGATCTGCAAAATCTACAAAGACTTGGTCTCTTTCTCCTCCCTCTCAACACTCACCAAAAACACCAAACCACAAACATCCTCCTGCATGAAAAACTAAAAGGTTTAGAAACCATGTTTTGCAGCAGGAAAGGAGGCAGAAAAGCGACAGGCATTGTCAAAGCTGGGAGCTTGAAGAAATAAATGATCAGGTAGAATATCCATGGATATGAATCAATGTCAGTGTGCCATGGCTGGGACAAGAGAATTTATATGAAGCAGGTAGTAAGTAAAATGAGGGAAAGTCCTGCTATCTTTAGATGGAAGCTTTGAGGAATACTGATGGACCAGTTCCTCCACTGAAAGATGAGATTCAGAATCAGTGCTCGTCAAAATGCACACCCAGGTACTTTGGGTAGCTCTCTCACTGCGTTTAGCTCTTCCCATCCCAAAATATTAATTTAATTATCTTAGTGCCTGAAGGGAAGGCAGTGGTGAGTTGTTGTTCATGTACTAAAAGTTTGGGAAGGTTGTTGTAGGGGAAAGGGGAACAAAGAGCTACTGGTCTTCAGAGAGATTAGCAGCTGGAGCTGCTGAGGTCTTCACAAAAGAGGCAGAGAAAAGGGTGAGCAGGCCAGTTCTGCTGTAAGGACTGAGTGATGCAGTGTCAACTGAATGTTGCTGAAAGCAGACACGTGTTTGAATTGAAGAGGTGCAAGAAAAGCAGAAGAAGCAGGGATGCCAGCTGGGCATCCATTGAGAAGAGGACTCCTGTAGGCATAACCATCAGCAGAAACAAAGCTGAACTCAGCAGGCTATACTTCAGCCCTTCCCAACACACTTCATCACAGGCAGGAGAGGAGACAAATGCTCAGAGGTCTTCTGAGCATTGGGAATTTTTGATATTAAATAAAATTCATGTAATGACAGAAACTGATAAATAAGGGAAAAAAATAAATAAAGCTTTATTTTATACTTTCAGAGAAAAACTTGTCACCAGTAAGACAGCATGAGGTTACCAGATCCCCAGGGCACAAGTTAACAGAGCAGTGGAGCTGGACTGACAGGTTTGTCAGAAAACCCCTGGTGATCCTGCAGGAGACACACACCACTCCTCCCGCAATGCTGGCCTCTGGTAGGAAACTCCACACAGAGCTCCTTACAGGCTCTGGCAAGGAAGCCACACTAACTGCACACCTGGATGTTACAACTGAGCACTTTGCTTCTTGCAGGTTTTCCTTTCCCACCTGGGGTTTAATCACTCATAACTAAGTTTGGGACTGATAGGGCCCAGTTTGAGGCCTCTCTCTGAATGCTGGCCATGAGAGCTGGGCACAGAACTGCTGCACTGGGAGCCTGGCTTTCCTCCTCACCCTTTCTGACAAATAATAATCTGAAAACCTTGGTTGGGGCATCATCAGCTATTCTGTAATCACTGATAGGGATGGTTTGAGAAGCTCCTCTGAGTAAATTATCATGCAGACCCCAAGGCGATGTGTTTGAAGACAGGACTTGTAAAATTTTATGTGAAAAGCTTTAACACTTTCACTGGTACTTGTTTACCACACGGCATTCTTCACATTACAGCAATGGTGCACAGGCTACAAAAGGTACCTGCAGTACCAGCAGTCAAGTGTCTTCTAATCAGTGGAGAGAAGGTCAAAGGAACTCATGGAGTGGGCATTGTTTCTTAATGAAAAGTTTGAGGAAATTAATCACAAAGGGTTGTTCACGTCTGATCATGAGCATACAACGCTCCGCTTTCTCCCTCTCCATTGCACCTAAATGATTAGCATAGAGAGATGCCTGAAAATCCTTTTCTCCAGTGCCAAGTTTGGCCATGAAGAATGGCCCTCAAAAGCTAATGTCAGATTGTAGCATCATCTGCCACCACCCACCTGAGACCACTGTGAAGATAGATGGGTATGACACAGTCCTAATAGGACTAACACAACACACAGACAGGGGGGAGGGGGTTGGCAGAGAACAAATGCCTCTATGGATAGATATGTAAGTGTCTGAGAAGGGGAAGGACAAGGTATCACCACTATGGGTAAGAAGCACACATCTAAACCTTGACAAAGTTCTACTGACTCCTTCGTGATACCTGTCCTGGAGATCCTGATGGGAGCTAAAAGTGCGGATTCCAACGGGAAAAGCAGTGTATGAAAATACACCTGCTTAACAATGAATCCAGACCTAATCTCCAAAGACCATTACAAATATACTCTGATTACACCAAAATTTCAAACCATTTAGCCACAAGACAAATGAAGATTTCTAGAAAAAGACAATTGTGAAGAATAACAACTACCCAACATATGACTGACTTGATTTTGCCATCCCCGTATATTGACTACAGTAGTCACAACCAGCAAAAACCTCCCTCAGGTATACAGGCCATAGCAAAGTAAAAGGTGCAATACACTGCAAAATGTGGCAGCTCATTGAGCAGCACTGATGTTATTGTTAGGCCATTCCATCATCTTTGAAAGGTCATGGAGAGCAGGAGAGGTGCCTGAGGACTGGAAGAAAGCCAATGTCATGCAAGAAGAAGAACCCAGGCAACTACAGGCCAGTCAGCCTCATTTCTATCCCTGGAAAGGCTGTGGAGCAGCTCATCCTGAAGGTCATCTCCAAGCATTTGGATGATAAGAAGGTGATCTAGAGTAGTCAACATGGATTCACGAAGAGGAAGTCATGCTTAACCAATCTGATAACCTTCTATGAGGGGATGACTAGCTGGATAGATGAGGGGAAAGTGGTGGATGTTGTCCACCTTGACTCCAACAAAGATTTTGACGCTGCCTACCATAATATTCTCATAGACAAGCTCTGGAAGTGTGGCCTGGATGACTGTGGACTGCGGACAGTGAGTTGGATTGAGAACAGGCTGGATAGCAGAGCTCAGAGGGTTGTGCTCAGTAGTGTGCAGTCTAGTTGGAGGCCTGTAGCTAACAGTGTCCCCCAGGGGTCAGTACTGTGTCCAGTGCTATTCAATTTACTCAACAACCTGGATGATGGAACTGCGTGCAAGTTTGATGATGACACAAATCTCAGAGGAATGGCTGATACCCCAGAGGGCTGTGCTGCCATTCAGAGGGACCTCGACAGGCTGGAGGGTTGGGTTGAGAGGAACCTCATGAAGTTCAACAAAGGGCAAGTGCGGGGTCCTGCCCCTAGGAATAATCCCAAGCACCAGTACAGGCTGGGGAAATAGCCGCTGGAGAGCAGCTCTGCAGAGAGAGACCTGGCAGTTCTGGTGGACAGCAGGCTGACCATGAGCCAGCAATGTGCCCTTGTGGCCAAGAAGGCCAATGGTATCCTGAGCTGCATTCAAAAGAGTGTTGCCAGCAGGTCAAGAGAGGCGATTCTCCCCCTCTACTCAGTCCTGGTGAGGCCACACCTGGAGCATCCCTTCCTTCTGTTGTATCAACTGCACCACTCAGCTTGGTGTCATCTGCAAACTTGCAGGGGTTGCATTCAATCCTGCTATCTATGCCATTGTTAAAGATATTAAAAAGTGTTGGTCCAAGACAGACCCCTGAGGGACACCACTCATCAACAGCCTCCACATGGACGTGGAGCTGTTGACCACCCTTCTCTGGGTTTGGCCTTCAAGCCAATTCCTTATCCACTGAATGGCCCACCCATCAAACACATCTCTCCAATTTGAAGACCAGGACGTCACGTAGGACTGTGTCAAAGCCTTGCAGAAGTCCAGGTAGATGACATTGGTCGGTCTTCCCTTGTCAACTGATGCAGCCATAGAAAACCACCAGAATGGTCAGTCACGATTTGCCCTTGGTGAAGCCGTGCTGGCTGTCCTGGATCACCTCCTTGTCTTGCATGTGCCTTGACATTGCTTCCAGGAGGATCGTTTCCATGATCTTGCCAGGCACAGAGGTGAGGCTCACTGGTCTGTAGTTCCCTGGGTCCTCCTTTCAACCATTTCTAAAAATGGGAGTGATGTTTACCTTTTTCCAGTCACCAGGGACTTCACCTGACTGCCAGGACTTTTCAGGTATGAGAAAGAAAGGCTTGGCAGCTCCATCAGACAGTTCCTTCAGGACCCTGGGATGCACAGCATCAGGCCCCATAGACTTGTACCTGTTCACTTCCATCAGGTGGTCTTGAACCTGCTTTTTGCTTACGGTAGGAGGGACTTTGCTCCCCCAACCCTCATCTATGGGCTCAGGGAAATGGAAGACTTGGGAAGCCTGACTGGCAGTGAAGACTGAGGCAAAGAAATTGCTGAGTACCTCAGCCTTCTCCATGTCTGTCGTTATCAGTTTGCCCTTCTCATCCAACAGAGGGGGTAGGTAGGCTCTCCTTGGCCTTTCTTTTCTGCCAATGTACCTAGAGACTCCCGTCTTGTCATTCTTTGCATCCCTTGCCAAGATCAGCTGTATCCATGCCTTGGCTTTCCTGCCCCCATCCCTGCACACCCGGACAGCATCCCCGTGCTCTTCCTAGACCATGTATCCCTGCTTCCCCTGCCTGTGCATTTCCTTCTTGCACCCATCTGACCAGCAGGTCCTTGCCCAGCCATACCAGTTGGTATCAGCTCCCTTGCTTGGAAGGAGTACCAGGTGTTCATTACACAATCCCAACCACATTAAGTGTCCTTTTTGGGCTGAAAAATTACTCTGCCTTTCCTCACTTACACCTATTTTTCCCTTTCTACCCTGTCCCTATGCGTACAGGTGTATCAATCGCTGACTTGGCCATGTTAGTCCCTGAGGTCATTATCCTGGAAGGTAAATGCTGAAGCATTCTGGCAGGGCAGTATGAGGTAATTTGTCATGTCACTTACAGCAGCAGATTCTGGATTTTCATCTCCAACCTATAAGGGAGACCTGCAATGAATGCCTGGATTCAAATGTACTTTTGGATTATTACTGAGAAAAACACAAACGCACACAAAAAAATGAGGCTTACCAATTAGATGCTCTGTGTTGTTTTTCTTGGGTGTCTCTCTCTTGGGATCCATCTCATTCTAGGGAAGTTCTGATCCCCTCACAAAGACAGCAGCATACCTTGAAACACCAGAGCACTCATACAAAGCACAGAAAAGGGAAGCTCTGTGAGGGAAGGAGAAATCCCCACTTGCATGAGAGCCCTCTGGGAGTCAGTAACCCTGGTGAGGATGGCATGGTTACAAAAACAAAGTCTTGCAGGTCACTGTTGCCTCTGATGTAACTTCACGGTCTTCTGTGGCAGGTTTTTGGCTAGGGATACACATGGCCCAGCCAGTTTTACACCCTACAGTATCCAAGCTGGAAATTATTTCTGTGGGTCACAGTAATATCTGCCACCAAAGATAAAAACAAAAAGCAAGACAAAACAGAAAGAAAAGATAAAGCTAGTGGGTGTAGACTGAGTATTGCTCACTTCTTAGTAGGTGAAGTCCCCCTGCCGTGTGGAATATCTCTTCAAACATTTCTTGATACTTTGCAGCACAGTGTGTTGAACCCTCTTGTGCTAGATAGCCAATAAAATAAAAACCCAGTAGAAGCATTTCAGCCCCCCAAGTGTTAAAATTTTCTCCCGAATAAGAGTAATCTTCTAAAACACCTTCCTTCCAATACTGGCATCAAACCAAGTATAATTGGTCTCTCAGCAGAGAGCAGACTTCTCAAAGGACACAAAACCACTGCATGTAATGAGAAAAAATGAGGGGTGGTTTTTCATATTTAATTTACAAATTTTAACTTATAGTTGCATTAATTCAATGGTTGTTTTCTGTGGGCATCCATCATCTAGAGTACCTTGGAAGAGCTGGCTCCAGCTTCATGTAACATAAGTCTTCATCAGTGTCAGTCATCACATTGGTCCCAGATGGGTCATTCAAAGCTGATTGCTCCCCGGAGAACCCTTACAGCTTCACAAAGACAGGAACCTAACCCCACTGAATGGGCATTTTAAATCACTGTGCAAGCTATAAGCACAGCTTGCAAAACAGGGATTCACATGCTTATCGTAATGCCCTCCCTAACATATCACAGTATCTGTATGAAGTCATTTGTTGCATTTTCCTAATTATTTGGCCTGTCATGCTTAGGCTGCAAGATCAAACCTGTCCATGACAAAAATCCTACTAATAGGGCAGCATGGGTGAAGAGTTAGAAAAACTGTGTGCTTTTAATTATTTCACAAAGGAAAAATCTAACATGCAAAACTACCCCCCCCCACCTTTTTTTTTTTTTTAAATCAACTGTTTTATGGAAAATAGCTTGTAATAAATGAAGTTATCTGAATGCTACAATCTACACAGCGGCTTACACTGTCAGATAGATGAGCAAAACATTAAAATCTAACAGAAATAATTGCTCCCTGCTGTTTTCTGGGAATACCCCGAGGTGCTTGTAAAAATATCCCTTGAAATGTGGCTCAAACAGATGGTATTTTTCTTTGATGTTGAGGAACATCACTGTACTACTTTGTGTTAACTTCCGCTGCACTTTTATTCTTTCATTTTCAAAAATTTGAAGTCAAAGGCAGGGCAATCATAATCCTTTTTCCTTGGGGCTATGCTGGCGATGTGGCTAACAGTCACTAGCTCTCATGTCTTCAAGTGCAAAATACACGAGCATTGAAGCAGTCTGCAAGCTGGAATTTCACTAGCGCTGAACAACCTGGTACAGATCTGCAGTACTGAGCAATATCACAAAGAAAAACAGCTCAAGTCCAAAGCCACTTTAGCAAGGCTTATTGACTTAGATGTAGCATCAGGTGAATGTTAGGTGGCCATTGAGGGATTTCTGCAGTGTTCTGATGTAGCTAACACAACTTCTAGTCCTAAAACAGCACAAAGGCACGATGATTTGGTGCTTACCTGTAAACAGTCCATTCTCCAACATTTCCCTGCACCAATAGCTCCATTTGCAAAATGTGACCCCGGTCCTTTACAGTTCAAAGTTTCCATCTGCTCGTGCTACCCATTGATATATTTGCATATCATAAGATTTGCATACAACATAGTTACTTTGTCTATGATCTTTTTAGGCCCATATTACTCTTTCCCTCACACGGATCCGTGGCTTTAGCCATCCCCTAAAGATTTCTCAGCCTCTTCCTCTTCCGGCCCTGAACAGACACTAGCCTATTTGCTTCAGGCTTCTCATTCATCTCCCTCAGATAAAAATTTAGAAGGGGAAGGACATTGCGAAGAATAACATCTCAATACTTGTAGGAACATCCGCACATTACTCCTTCTCCTTTAACGTGAAAAAGACATCAGCTTTCAAGAGCAGAAAATGTGGAGATGACAAGGAGAGACCCCTTTGGCTACACTTCACTACAACATAAATAAATATGAGAGAGAGTCAATCAAAGGGGTCCCTTACCTCTCAGCCTAGAAATGCAGACAATCTGCAAGAAAGTAAGAATGCTCGTATCATAAGTTTCTTAAGCTGCAATTAAAGTACCTGTAACAAATAGCAAAACCTGTAGTTGCAAACATAGTCCCAATACGTTCTCATGTTCTGAATGAAGGTTTTATTTCAACGAATGTTTCACTGCACCTTTGTAGTCTCTCAGCATAGCTGAAATACAGCAGTAAGAAGCAACCAAACAATCAAATCACAATTAGTCCAGACTTAAGTCACACAGCAACAGTCCTTTCCCAACATAATCTCAGTGTAAGATCTGGCACGGTTTGCCTCAGGAGTAGGCTTTTCCCTGGCTTTTTAAAATGGGGCTCAAGTAAGCATGAAAGAACTCAGGACAAATCACCCCCTTCAGAAATTCCAATGTTGGGTCACAGGAGCTTGCTTCAAGCTGCAGTGCAGAACACTGACTTTATTCCTGAGGAGAAAAAATTAATAAAAGACAATTTTACATCAGGAAAGACTTTTAAAAAACTGAAACTTACCTTAATCCTAACCACTTGACAGTTCAATTTACAATATCCTGTTCAACATGGTTCAGTAAGAATCAGAGAGCCCATTCTAGAGAAAACACTGTCGATAGTTTAATGCTTCTTAACCAATTTATTCACTTGTCTGACATTGATGACAAGCTTCTCTCTATCATGACACCAGCTGTGCAAGAAATTCTCTTTTCTTGGTAAAGGACATTTCCCAGCAGGTAGGCACCACTTACGAAGTACATTGTTTCGGGATAACATTTAATACAGTGGATAGTAACTACTTCTCACCTGATTGCATTTGGAGAAACAAGATCTCACCATCTCCTACATATCTTTGAGATGTCTAAGGTTCAGACAGAAAAAATCTACCACAAAAACACAACCCATGACCATTCAATATATGTTTTCAGAAACAGACATGCAAAGCGCTTACATTTGATAAAGCAGGGCATGAAAGCTGATGTTTGGTATTTGTTTTAGAGAACAAGGTAAAGTGAGTTAAAGTTTTTTTTGATTGCTTAGTCGGGAAACTAGGACTCAAAGCAGTGATCAAACTCAGCACCTTGGTAAGGTTACAAAGTAAACACTAATATTTTTATTTTCTCCTTCTCCAATTGATCTACAAATCTACAAAGAACAGCCTGTAAAAGGAATGAAGACCAGAGTACTGAAAGATGGTTGAATTTTTTTCTGCAGATTTCTTGAATCAAGAGGTAAGGCACTAACTTTAAAAGCAGTTCAAAGTGGAGAATCATTAGAAAGCAACAGCTTTCATGAAATAAAAAGTTGTGAAAATGCAACATGTTTCTAAGTTTAAAATAATATGTTATTTTGATTATAAAAATGCAAGACTACCTCAATTGCTGACAAAGTATGTAGGACACTATTAAGTTTTCTATCTAAACACTTCATGGGGTATCTCTGTTACCACTCTTTAGGAAACCTATTTTATAATTCAGTATCTAATTCTCCATCATAAAAACCAGCATAAGTAAGATCAAACATGAGGAAGTGTCTTAGCAAAAACAAATTTATTCATCTATTTTTTAAGCAAATAGGTAAATGGTCAGCAAAGCCTTTTTGCCATGACTGTAAACTTTTTATTTTAAAAAATTGTGTTAAAAACCAGTACAGGAATTTCCATTAATGTTCTAAAAAAGTTTGTTCACATCTTGAAAGAAAATACATTAGCAACATCTCCCAGCAGAATTCATCTTTAAAAAAGTAAAACTCTAGGTGCAGAGCTTTTCTACATTATAGTATCTTCTACATTTTAATTTAACCACAAGATTGAATATCATTCATCTCTATTATCTCTAAAACATGATCAGGAGTTTACCTTACATAGATGATATTCAATGATATTCAATGATGTGTTACACATTGCCACAGGTACTAGCATTATTAAAAGAGTGCACAACTGAATTTCACTAACAAAGCAAGACTTTTCTATATACTGCATCATTACCCTTCCTAACCAATACAGTTAATTTAGCTCTATGCCTTTAAAATCATGTACATTTTCCAAGGAAAAATACTAAAAAACCCATGGTCCAAATTCTGCTCCCACTTACATTCACAGGATAACTCATAAGCACCATCAAGTTGTGGTTTATAGCCAAAAAGGTAAAAGAGAACCAGTGGGTTTGTGAATATAAGGGAGAAAAGAACTTGACACATGTCTGTAAACATTCACAAAAGTCTGCAGTCAAAAGTGCCGGATAGGCAGCCTATCCGCAGTACAATTATTTCATTCACAGAGAGGGGTGGGGGTGGGGAAAATGTTATGAAACATTATTTTAGATGCAAATAAAAAAGGCTTTTTATGGACTTTGGAAAGACATATTTCCAGCTAGCTAAACCATACTCCAGTAAAACATAATCCACTTCTATCCAAATACAATACAACACCACCTCCTAGATCTCCTGCTCAGATTCTGACAGAGTACTCAATTCAGCAGCAAGCCCATGACAATATCTCAAAGCATAAGAACACCCCCAAGCCCCTCTGATCTAGTCTCCCCTTAACATACTACTGATGCTAACAGGAGATCCTCACACATACAAATAAAAGATCTGAAGAACCATACACTGATCTTGATCTATGCACGCACGAGAGGCGTGCAGCTAGACTAAAGATCATCTACAGCTTTAAGTATCTAATTTCAGTCTAGATCTCATTCTATATTAACCACATATACCATACAAAACGTAACAGAAGAATAGGTGCTTATACACGCTATTATGTATACTTGTTCTCCCCATTCAGTTTGAAAGCCAATTGCTCTATTTACACATGCCTGTTTGAACGTTCTTGATCCTGTAAGAAACCAAACATTCAATTTCTAAGATACAAGTAGAGTCAGGGATGCTCAGCAATTCACAGGATCAGACCCTGAATCAGTTAAATGCAATCACAAATTAGGTTTGACATCTGACGCAGTTGCCTGGAATCATTTTATCCTCACGTTTACCCCTTTTTCCCCAATTCAGACCACAATCCCACTCAAGCAGAGTGCTCCCACTAAAGTGGAGTCAGCCTTCAAAGTGAATAGGATCAGGCTCTGCCAAGCAACCACTGCAGTCTTTAAAAATGTCTGGTATTTATTGCCATCCACTCTGGGGCAGACTTGTCTGCAGTGAAAATGGTGTTCCTGGTGTTGATGGATAGTTAGCAAAACCTTCAGGCTGAGCTGTATAGTTCTCCAGAGCAGAAGCAGAGTGTGCCTTCAAGGAAGAGAAGAAGTTAGGAAACAGCACAGATAAAAACAAACAAAAACCTAAATCAAGCAAATTTTCAGGCACAATACCGGTCATACTCAAGCCAAAACAAAAAATACTTAAAGTTTAATCTGAAATATGCAAAGAGTGAAGATGAGCAATGCAGCTATATGCATGTGTTAAACTGCAGTGCAATTATTGCTCTGAAATACCAGAGTGAGAAAAGCAGTTGGATTAAGAGGAAATATGAAGAAGCATTATTGGCATTTATTTTTCAGTGTAGGAAGCTGCAGCTGATCTGGAAGGCATAGCTTAATTAGAAGCTGTAGTATTTCACTGACTCTGAGCCTTCTTTATCTACATTGCTCAAGTGTTCACTTCAATGATTTTAACTTGTAAACAAGAAAAACATTTCCTCAATGCAATCTGCATACGTAGATCTACACAGAATAATTTCCTGAGCTGGAAAAGCAACATGGCTGAGATGAAGTCATTTGCTTCTTTTGATCTATTTCCTCTGATATTCAAGAGGTATCTGACAGTATTCTGCATATTGAACAGTATTAGACACGTGCTCCATCTCAAAAATTGATGTGCCACAGAACAGAGAAATCATCAATTTGAGGCACTTAACTGTCTGTTCTAGTATTTTGTATGGAAGGACAAAAATTCTACCAGAATCCTTATTCTGTACAGAAGCCTTTTTAAAAAACAGATAAATTAAATGTCTAAATTATCTAATACAAATGATGATAGCTTCAATTAACCTCTGTAGGCTGCTGACTGCAATGAGTTGTTTCAAGGACAAGAGAGATGATGAAACTACACATTACCTAAAGCCACCTCAAGCTTATATTATGAGGACTGTATTTGTGGGAACTGTCAAGACAAAGGCACTACAACAGCAAACACAAATTCAATAAAATCTGACTGTGGATGTAGAGAGGTGCATAAGTAAAGACAAAGCGGTTTTCCAAAGTATTAAAATGTCAGACTGGAACTGAGCTCAGATTTTGCAACGACATGGTCAACTCACTAGATTTAACATAAATCTATATAAAATTTTTACTCTCTTGCCTTTTATTTTTTTTTCTTTCACACCTCATTTCACAAAGTTTTTTTTGTTGTTCTTTTTGTTTTTCTGAAAGAGTTTAATTACATTTATAACCTCCAGAAGCACTGTATATTGATTGCTTCCCCCAGACGTTCAGTAAAAACATTTATCTGAGTCATTCTTTTTCATCATCCTTGTAACTGGTTCTCACACAGGTTAGAGGTTTTAAACCATTTACGTATTTAAACTAATCCCACAAAGTTGACACTGAAATACATGTTCAAACAGTTACTGGAAGGAGAATAGTATCAACAAATAGGCACATTACCTGTAGTAGTGCCGACTGTGCAGCCGCACTATGCTGCAATTCCTGTAAGGAAGATTGTGTGGCACTTTGGGGAAAGCCAGGGATACCAGGGAGAGACAAAAGACCAGGAAAAACTGCATTTCCCGGTGTCTGTAGTCCAGAAGTCAAACTGAAAGAAATCAAGATGTGGCTGTTACTAGGAGTATCTGCATGACATTTTATCCTATCTTTCTCTCTGTATAAGTTTATGCCTATATTAATTTCTAAACCACATAAAGGCCAGAATTTCAAAACAGAAGCCCACTCTTTACCCGCCTACAAATTATTCATGCACACACAAATCAAGACCATCTGGAGCACAATGTGCCTAAGAAGGGAACTCAGAAATTTTTGTACCTTGTCTGGGCCTACTATTCATATACAAAAAACTTCCTAGACAGAAGTTAATGCTAAATACTTCCTTAAAATATAGGAACATCTAGTAACATCGTCTGCTATATTACCTGGACATGCCAATGGATGCCAGCATGGACTCCACTCATGTAAAGGCCTAGGAGGTGCCAAGTATCCTCATCTGGGACATAAGACTACTCAGCACCTCACTGGGTTAGACTGTGGTAACCAGAATAACCAAGAGCAACCTATTTAGTAGCTACTTTATTAGTTTCTAAAGACAGCTGGCAATGTACTGGTGAACTAAGTTTACAAATTAACTGTAATTACTAACTGTGACTGAAAATAATGTCTATGCATAAAGTAAAACCACAGTTTTGCTCAAGATAAAAATAAATGGTTCTGACCTCCTTCAGAAACAAAACATACCCAGCCTGTGCAACAAGTGCAGAGTT